GACTATCGAAGACTCTCCCCGCAGGCTAATTGTGGCTTCGTCGCTGAGTGTGAAAGAAGTGCACTTCTCTTGGAGCTCACCCCAGGTCACTTCATTCCGATTCAACAAAACTCGGGATAGAGACCTCGAGTTTCTGAGTTCCGGCTCATTCAAAATGTTCGGGCGCTAAGTTCCCGATTGATCTTGAATATCTTCATTCCAGACTCCGTATGCCCTCGAGAGAATCCGACCCGGAGAGATGATCTCTACAGAGCGCGGAGAGCCCGTGTATTGACCGCCTCGTCCACATCTAACAAGCGCTGCGAAACCGGCGAAGGCTCTCAGGTTCAAGATATACAGCGAGTTGTTGTCTATCAGATGAATGACGGCCAGGGACCTAACGGCTCGTTTCGAGATTCGCCTTCTAGACCGGGAGTCCGACCTACGAACCGACAGCCACAAGTGAGAAACAAACGATCATTTGGACGTGGTCACCATCAGCGGCAGTCTTGATGGAAGAAGATGCTGCGACGAGACGACTGGATGGTGCGTGTTCACTTTTACGTCGGCCGTGTCGATTCAGTTACGCGAATGCCCAGGGCGTATCCCAGAAGGTCACGCAGAGGTCAAGCCGATGCTGCTATCAAGTCGCAGGCGAGCCTACGACAGATGACACATACCCACAGCGGGGCGTCTGGCCGACGATGTCGCTCCGCGCCACTGTCGGAATGGATCTTTTAACGAGAGAAAAGGGTGAGAACTTGTCTATGACGCTTTAGCCATTTTGTTCATGTCGCAGACGTCATTTTCGTAAACTACCCGAAATTTTTCCTGCGGACATCGAATGGCTGTCGTCTAGTGAGGTGGCTATGCGGGACGCAGGACGCGTCACGGACAGGATGATCTCCTCGCTGTGCGCTGGGATCCATTAGCTGGGGAGAGTAGGTTCATGAAATTTTTGTTCTCCCGCCACATCTCTGTACTGATTCCGAAGGATTCCGGAGCTCGCGCCTACACGCAGACGGTGAAGACGCTGATAGTTCCCCATAAGTCGAACGAGTGCATATGCCCATAGTCGATGAGATCCGCTCCAGTATAATACGGGGAAAAATGTGACGCTCTTGCCTCAAAGAAGGAGGATAATCGTCGTTACGGAAAAAATGAAGCACCCAGGTATGCCTTGCCTTCCTCGTTAGCGCTGGGCCTTCGGGGGAATGAAGTGATAATGTTTCGCTCACGCTGGCACTATTCAATCTGAATCGTCGCCAAAAAGAAGCGGGTCCTGAAGCTTCCCCTTCACAGTTCTCAAGCGAGCTTCAATGCTTCATTTGGATACATTTCAGGACGGCGATCTGGCTCACACTCTGGCACGAATTCTCGCTTCGCACCCTTCTCCTATGGTTCCCCTACAATGTAACAATGACGGGTCGGGAAGCGCATAATTATGCAGTTTTTCGGTCGGTTCCTCAAATTGGAGTTCCCAGCTCCATGCGGAACCCTTGTGGTTGACGTCGGCATTCTCCTCCGGTATTTCGATTGATGCTTCGCATAGACGTAGACCATCCCGGATATTCAATCCATTAGATTCGATTCCCTGCAGAGACCAATGCAGAACTCAGATCCGCAAAAAACAGATAGATCTCGGAAACAAGGAGCTCATTGAGCTATCGCGGGGCCTGGGAAGAGAATCGCTCGTTAAATGTCGTACTCCCCGACGATGTTGATTAGCATGTCACGACAGATCACCGTGCTCGTGGACCAGTTTCGGCAGTAAACAAGTGAGAATTGAAGAATGGACCGAGAGGACAGACAGATTGGTGCCAATTATCAGCGAAAAGGCATCGCTACCGCCCTCGTCTCTAAGCGCTACACATCGGTATGGCGGCCGAACGCGTGGCGCACACTTGCGAATTTAGGAAAAACGCCACCGTGATCGCAACGAATGTTCACGCACTGCAAAGCGCATAAATTTACGAATGCTCAAGGTCGACCGCCGTTAGCGATTTTAACAAGCGGGCAAATACAAAATTTCGATATCTTTCGAACCGTGACCAGAAGCAAGCTATTGCCCTCTCATTCGTTCGATCGCCCGCGTCCACTGCGAAGATTGACTTTCACAACTTTCGGTACTATCGGTCGTTCCTACTTGAACAAGCTTCCCCGACCGACTGGAGTCCCTGGTGATGGAGCAGGATTCTAGATGGTGAACAGTTCCAGGTAAAGCGATTAGCTTTTTGACCCGCTCGGAGCCGATCCTTCTGTGTCGGAAAGCACCCGATTGGGATGATGTGACCCACGCAAAGATTTTTCAAAGCATTGATGAAGGTTGAAGAGCACAGGAAGCAATCAATATATATCAAGATAGATACAAAATGGACCGAAATCGCCGGAAATGGTGCTTTTGTCAGTCGCCTGCTAGGCCAGTAAACAGCAGTAATAGATGGGTAGGTTGAATGCGGGAGCGTCGGTGTGTAAGAGGAACTCGATTTTGTAAAGAATGAAGAGTTTAATTCTGTTTGGTTTTCCCCTGCCCAGTTGCTCCACGGTCATTGATGGGCTGCTCGGAATAGACTAGACCATTTTGTATTCCATTTTCTGACGGTGTTCTGGTTGAGCAATCGGGAAGCGTAAGAAAACAAACACGCCTGACCCATCATCGACTCGACAATCAATTCGATGGTGATCGAATTCATTTGAATGCCAGAGGCTAGCCGGGCGGACTGCCGGAGGAAAAACTGTAAGCGATCGATTGCATGGAATGCGAGGGACTCACACTCTGAATTCTGATCACCTGTTCGCAGTCCGTCATTGGACAACAATCAGTGACTTACACGAATGCGGAATTCGAGAATTCCTGCCACGCATTTTCTCGCCACCAGACGAGGGATTACACGGAACTCTCACTGATTGGGGTTCTAGACGAATTTATGGTAATTAGTACAGTGTTGCTTGATTAATGATCGCGTGCTCGAGGCAGCGATTCTCCAAACCTGCTTGGGCAGGTTTCTGTGGGATCCCAAACGATTCGATCATCTCTGCTCGACCGCGATTTGACCTCAGGTCTTTCTCATTAGTTCATCCCTCGCTCTAAATCCCGTCTCGTTCTCGTTATGTCAAGCAGGCGAATCGAGGGCGGAAGAAGTCCCTTCCAAGTATTCGCTGAAACTCGTTGCTCGATATCTCGCACATCGTATCTAGGATCTGAGTCCGGAGACTGCCATTCGGTTGTACCCGAATCAATTGACTGGTCAAACAGAGAAGGGTTCGTCTCCGCGGAAGTCTACGGCCCCTTCCTTGTTTGCGGTTTTCTCGTTTCTACCCTTCTCGATCAGATCTCGAGATGCAATTCGTTCAGAGGAGGAGGGGAGACACCGCTGCGCTAGCTGCAAAATCGATTTCATAAGATCGTACAAGCGTTGTTCTTAGCTCTGTCAAGCCACATTGTGGCTTTGAATGTTCGCATTGAGCGCTGATCGCTCGTCAGCGGTGTTCTGACGTTCAGTACCAGCTGAAGTCGTGCTTTGTTCCACGCATGATCGGAGTTCGATTGACGATGGCGGCAGCGGCGGCACCGGTTGTGGTCACACCTCTGCTTCGTGATCGGGCAGACATTGTCGGCCTCGGACGCCTGTTTGCTACAATGTTCCACTAGCGCACGGATACTAGCAATACTATACGCGACGGGCTGGAAGCTGCCAGCGTCGAGCACGCGCGCGTGACTTTTGCTGACAGCTGGAGCGGCCGCCGTTCGGGCCGAGCAATGGTTGTTTCTTTCTTTCGTTCTCTTTCAAACTTGAACATCAAGTCAGGCATCGGAAAACGACGCACTAGGCGCCAATAATAATGAGCTTTGTTGTCTTTTTCTCAGACCGCGGGCATCGAATGATTGCGTGATTTTTAGGGGGCAGAAGGGGGGGGCAGCCTGAGACGGACGCTGGCGGAAGAAACTCCCTGAAACCGTCGGCCAGCGAACTACCAATCATCGGCGCAAGATGAGGTTTCCCGTCCTTCATAATTACCAACGGACGGTCGCTGCCGCGTATGTGCTGGCAGGCATAAGCCAAGACCTACTGATGAGAGATGGAGGAGCGAATGGAAAATCCCCGAAAATGTTAAATGCTTCCCCCGTGACAGTTTCCCCCGGTGCGTCATCGAGAGAGACTCGATGTCGCGAACCCGAACGAGTGTTCCACAATCTCAATCCTCCCCTCAGCAGCTGCTTCGTCGGTCAATGAGTTCACCCGTAGCTCGTCAGACGGCCAGCCCAATCAGCGAACTACATGGCTGGGCAACAAGGCAGGCAAATGTGCAACTTGCCACTTTGAGCCACAGCTATCTTCGTTGGCTTTTGTCGGTGAAACCAGCGCTCGCGACGGCGACTGTACAGGAGCCCTCGCCGCGCCGAGGGTAAGGGCTCCCAATGGAGTGAGTAGCCAGAGGGGGCGTGGCCTGCAGGCGTCGCTCCGCCCGCTCTGTTCGACTCACCACACAGCGGCCCTCGGCGAAGGAGGTGCTTCTCTAAACATTTACCTAAGCTTTTAGAAATCTTTAGACAGATGAGTGAATCGCTCATACGAGTCGTTTAGACCTCTCGCTGCTCGCAGCCGTGAGGGACAGACGGACGGCGACAAGCAGGACGATTGGAGCCATCCTGCCGACTAGTCAGTCACTCTTTCAGTCGTTCGACGGAAGATCTTCTCCGACGGACAGTGTTTGTGTGGAGTGTTGTTGGTGTCGTCGTCGTTGCCGTGATAATCATCGTCGTCGTCACGAGCGCGGCATTAATCATCGAGCACATGATCTACATACATTAGAGTCGGCTTTAGGATCGGCGTCAGAAGCATCAGAACCGACGACGTCGACGGCGCGGCGGCCACGCTCAAAGACGGCCACGGACTACACGTGCTATCGGAGCGCTGTGAGAGTGCATCAGTTCCTAGTGTGCATCCATTCGGAAACGTTCTAGTTCATCCGCGACACTCGTCAAAACGGTCAAACTGAGTCTTCCATTGGAACCGGACATGTTGACGGTGTCCCCAGGCCGGGTGTCTCCGAAAGGGTCTGCGGTTGCGGCACCACCACACTCCTCGTTTTTGATACGAGACATCCTCAATGACCCGGATCATTCGCAGGGAGCGGCGCAAGCCCTCTTCGCCAATAGTCTCATGCAGCAGCACCTCGCCTCGCTGCGAGGCGTCGGTGGCGGCCTGCAGAACCCTGCCTGCTTGCAGGGCATGCCCGGCTCGTTGTTACCACGGCCGCCGATGTTCATGCCACCTCGACCTGTGTCTCCGGCAGACAGCTTCGACCGAGGATCTGACCACGACGACAGAGACGATGGTGAGTTGGCAGTGTTGGCAGTATCAATATTTGAGCTAGCATCAGAATTCGAAAAGAAAAAAGAGTGAGACAGCTGGCTTCTCCGGCGAGTCGCGAGCAAGGTACCGAAAAAAATGAAACGACCCCGACTCCTCGGAGAGTCTGTCGCGAGCGTACGTGTCGAATGAGACCTCTTGACGGAGAGTGTCACACGTTGGGAAGCAGACGACGTCAAGGAATTAAAATCTAGAAAGAGCTGTCACGCTGTCAGTAGTACCAGAGATCATTTGTTCGCGGTCTTCGCTGTATTCTCAGTCAGTGGGCTGCCATTCGAGCGGCTATCATCATCCGCATCAGGTGTGCCGGAGCTGCTTGACCGACGCTTAATTTGTGGGAAATTCATTTTTTCCTCCTTTTCGGCCATTCGCGGCGTGGCCCATTTAGACGAGCTTTGTTGAAGAGATTCACTGAAACTTCAACGCTGTTCGTTCTGCTGGCGCTTCTCGCGCTCTCCACTTGCCGAAGAGAGATGGGTTGGAACAGCGCTCAGAAAGGTCGCGTGAAAACGCAGTGAGATTTCGATTCTGAGAGATGCATGAGCAGAGGAGAACATTTACCAGATACCTAGCTCTGTCTGACGACAGATTCAGCAGAGAAGATAGCAGGTGTTAACGCACTTAACCAGCGCTACATCTACAAGCGAGGGGATGATGGCGACGACGACGACGGCGCTGTCCGACGATGAGAACTAGGTGTCACTTCCGGGCACGAAACGGACAAATATTTGGTGACGCCCAGTCGTCGTTGGCAGATGCTGCACGTCACAAGGACATTCGTTTCGGCGAAACTACATACATAGGCGAACTACATAGACCTCTCTTCTTTATTGTTTGAGAGTGTGTCCGAGGGAGCGCGTCCATGCCCCGTCGCTTCAATGTGTGTGTGGGGAAAGGAGCGTACTCGACCGTCGTCGTTGACGTCGTCGTCTGCTCTGTCTCGATCTCAAAAGTCGTCCCGAAAAACTACCCGAACGATGATGAGCGAGGCTCGTCGCTTCAACAACAGAAGACGCCCCCTTTGATGAGGGCAAACTGAAGGTTATGCAGATGAGGCAATCGTCGTCGACCGATAGAAGAAAATACTCTCGCCTTCCTCCCCTTGACTGACCGACCGACTGACTGACCGACCTACCTGCGTGTCTACCCGGCTGGCTGGAAGCCTAGCAGGTAGGCAGTCGGCTAGTTATCTAGTGCGTCTGATGTCTACCTGATCCGATGGCGGTGTCCTAATGTAATTACAGGACCGGTCGGACACTTTGGTTTCAACAGCGAATTATTGAGGTTTTCTCGAGCGCACAAATGCAGGAAACCCTTCGGCGCCTTCATCGTTGTTGAGGAATCAACGGTCGGACAGTCCTTCCGACGACGAGTTCTTTTTACGAGAACTACGGCTGCTCGTACACAGAATGGAACAGCCCTCTGGATTCGATCGCATTTCCGTCGATCGTTCGTTCTGTTTCCACTAGAATCACGGCTCTCGGCCGCTCGGGAAGTCCTGGAAGTCCAGTGCCCGGATCACGCGCGACCGGTTCATCACGAGTCTCATCTCAGCGATGAAGTCGTACTGCCTCTTGAGATCAGTCAAAAGGAGTGACGGATGATCGCCCGCCAGTCCCCCACGGTGGACCGGGACGAATCGCAAGATTCGATCAAATCAAACGCATCGGATGGATTTGTGCACCAAGAACTGGCGTACCCAACAAACTTGATACCGGAGCGAGTACAACAACTTCGACGTACTCGGAAGGTGCTCGCTTCGTCGTAAGTCGTCGGCAGTCGAGAAACACCTCCTCCATCCGGTGCTTCGCGAAGGAAGCCAGAGGTCGAAATGGAAGCCTTGATGATAGCAGCAGTCAATAATCCAGCGTCCGGGGCCGAACTCCACGCTTTTGTTTCTCGCAGATGATTCTCTAATGATCACTTTAACCTCAACGCGACAAGGCTGCGTCAATTCTCCGAGACGCGCTCTCTGTTTTCTAGAATTCTCCGTTTCGTTCACGGAGCAGACACTTCTCGACTTTTTGAGCAGGAGAAGTCTTGGAGGGAAGAAAAAAGAGAAAGATAGAAACGCTGGCTGTGGGTTCGCTCGGAGCCAGAGAAAAGCGAATAGAAAGCGATACATAAATAATAAATAGCGACGGAAAAATAAGTGATAGGCGCTCAAAAATTTGCGTCAGAAGGCGCGAGGCAGGCTTCCCTTCGGATACGACTCCGACTTTCCTAATTCCTCCATCTTATCCTTCCAAATGGAGACCTTACCGCTTGACACTTCGCGAATACTGCGAACATAACCTAGGCATCGAAGACAGTCCATCACGATTTTTCTCGCTGTCTTTCCCTCTCTGCTGCCTCCATTCAAGCTCTAAACCTTCAGGCAGAGAAACTTTGCCGATTCCAAGTCCAAAAAAAATCGATGAGGTCCAGAGAGACTCGGCTTTTTCTCCGTTTCGGATCCGAAAGTTTCGAGAACTCGTCTCCGCAGTGATCTCCGCCATCGAGTTGTCGAATCCGAATCGAGCCCGCAGGCGGGACAAGACGGGCGAGTGCGTGATGCAAATTTCCTGCGGTTCCAGCCTAGAACTCTGCCCCTGTGTGCTCATATTCGGGCGAAACTCAGATTTCCAGCTTTGTCGCTGAAAAACCGAGGTCCTTGTACGAGACGCTTGTGGCAAAAGAAAAAAAATCTCTCGCACTTGGTGCTAGCGGTTTTGGTGTCGAGCAACAAATGATGCTCAGACAAAAGGAATCGCGATTAAAGTTCACACACGGTCGTGCCCGGCAGCCTGCGAAATCCAAGTAGCCGAGTGAGCTGGATCGTCTTGCCGCCAACGAGCAATGCTCGACGCTGTGGATCGGGATGACTTTATGCAAAAAGCCTCACCCCGGGCGCGGCTCTGGGAATAACTCAATGATTCCCTTGTTGTCACCGGTAATTCGAAACGACACTCACACCGGACGGACAGGCTGAATAACGTGTTGGCGACAAAAAGGTCTGACGACAAAGCTGCATGATCGCTTACAGCAGCGCATCTAACCTCAGTCCGTCAGTCAGTCCGGTCGGACGACGGCGGCCGCCTCGAGCGAAGGTTCCGATTTGCAAGCTGACACCTGCCATTATGCAAATGAGATGGCTGTTCTCAGAGGGAAAAGAATCCCCTCCCCGCGGGCGTTTGCTCGGAACGATGTTCACCGTGTATCCATCGATCTCAGAAGCGGACACCACGCGGCGAACACGTTCTCGCATCACGACCTCAAAACACGCTCGGTCGCACGAATTATTTCAGTTGAAAGAGCAAAACGCTCCGGGAGATGGAAACGCGGGATTGCGCACTTCATCATCCGCGTATGGCTGCGGTTTGCTCGGTGGCCAGACGAGTTTCTGCGCGAGACGCTCGGCTGACCGGTGGTCAGCGATTCGAGGGATCAACCTAGCTTTCTGCAAAGCTGAGATAGCAACAATTAAACGCCGCTGCACACACACACTCTCACAAACATTTAACGGTAAAACAAGAGGAGGAAAAATGGAGAAAGAAAGGAATAGAGATAGATGGATGGATAGGAACAACCCCAAAAACGCTACCGGCAGCAACAACGGCGGGAGCGCTGGCAATAGCGCTCAAAAGACGCAAAAGTGGGGCCCGTAGGGAAATTCCCACGACACCCAAGCTAGATGACGATGACGCATCATCAACGCGTTTTGTTCTTAAGTTTTCAAGCATGTGCCTAGCCGTAGCTGCTTCCTGTCCTTCTCTGGATCCCGTTGTTGTTGCCGGAGCAGCAGCAGCAGCATTCACCTCGTAGTATCCCGGCGCTCCGGCAGCGACTAAACCGAATAACTGTTTCTACTCTCGACGAGATGATATGCACGCCGCTCGACAATGGTGTCGAACCGCGAGACGCTTCGACAGCCTACCTAGAAACTTCCGAACTTCACTGCAATTACATTGGAACCGATCGAGCGGAAATTCGGATCGGCGGAGTCGAATCCAGTGCCTCACGATTCCTGTCCGACTCCTTAGGAACAGTGTTCATCCGCCCGATCAAGGAAGTCCACCGCTAGAGAACACGTGACGGTTTCGAGTCAACGGGAACGAGATAGCGATATTTGTCGTTTGAGTAGGATTGCTGAAGCAAAGTCGTTCCGATATAGTGAGCAGTCGAGCATGCTGAAGCTGTCACCGCAAAGTGAGCGGACTTCTATGATGAGACCGGTCGCTCCGGCCGCCAGAAGCGCGACTGGCCGCCGGCTCGGCATCGCCACCCCCCAGATGGAACGCGCTTCATACTGAGCGTGAAGCTATGAACGGCTTTTTGTCAAGAAGCTCAAGAAGAAACGAGGGAATAACAACTACGACGCCGTCGTGAAAGACGAAGAAGATAGAGGAGCCAAACCGAAATCAAGACGGTCGGAATGAGCGAAACCAGCTCGAACGGAGCTCGGTCTCTCCCCACCTAGGTGGTAGAAAATATATAAATATAGCTACTGGAGCGCTGGATTATCCGCAATGTCCTTCTCACCGCCGACTTATTCGGAGTTGTCTCTTACTTTCTCGTGCCTATCTCTTCCTTGTTATGCTTCCGGAGCGGATCGTTCCAATCAGGTCTGCAATCGGTAAATATTGACCGGCAGAGCTGACTGACTGAGTGGCGGGCTTGCTCGAGACCTGCTCCGCTCGTATCTCGTGAAGCACAGGGCGTCTGCCGGCCGCTCGGCAACCATATGGAGGGCGGCGGCGGCAACAAGCGATCACTCCCACTAGAGCCAGTGGTGCTCAGCAACACTTAGACATTTAATAGTACAAACACTTAGACTGCTTACACGGGCCACAGAGCACGCTGCCGCCGCCATCTGAGAGAGGATAGAGTTTGCTCATCTATGTGGAGTCGCCGCATCGTGACCGGACGAAGTCTGTCCTTGGACGTCGGAGATCCTCGCCGTCTTCGACGCGAGACCGCGCACTG